CAAAATTGGTGGATGTTAAAGTCCTATTAAATACAATGGATTCCCTTCTATAAAACGGCAAAATCATATTGTATCCATGGGGGATCCTGGAACCAAACCCCAGGGGATATCAATGCCCCATTGTAAATGGATGTTCTTGGCAAGATTTGTTCAGAGGGGGTTTGCTGTTGCCGTCCTCTGAGGTTGAGAGAGTGTGACTTGCCCAGGGCAGTGTGACCAGTCATCCTCCTTTTCCAGGATGTGCCCTACATTTCCACCTTCTCTCCAGGAGGGATGTCACAAAATGTTCTCCATTTTGTGCATGACTAAAAAGCATGAGTTTATAATACTATGAGTGTTTCGAGCTTGTATTGTGGAATGTCCTCCATGGTGCAGTGCCAAGTCCTCCTTTGTGATTAGGACATCTGGTCATCACCCTGTGTGGATAACGAGACATCTCCATGCCCTCTCCCCTGGATCCTCCATTGCTCTACTTAGGTTTTGTAGATCCAGGCTTCTGACCTTCCTTATTCAAGATAGCCAGTTTTAATTTAATGTAATGTTTATACCCATTGGCGTGGTATTGTGGTTTGAGTGTCTGCAAGATATGGGCATGCTCTAAATTGGGGAATTATAACCGAGGATCCAAGGTTTGTAAACTGCACAAAACATGTATTTTTCTCCCTTTTGTCTCCTTCCTATTAGTTACGGTGGGTCTTTATTACAACAGGTTATCCTGTTCAAAAACCACTTCAGCTGTACTCCTGACTGTACCTAGTAGAATTCAAAGACATAGCCATGTTAATCTGTAGAATCAGTATGTAGAGAGAAATAAAAAGTTGAAAGCTTGAGCTTTTGTAGACTGAAACTGCTACACGATCTCTCTTCTACATCCTAACTATACCTGATTGTTGACACTATATATTGCATTTTTGTCACATTTACACTCTAATAGTAAGATTTGCTTTGGGTGTTGGACTACAACTCTGGAGAGCAGTGTTCTCTCAACCTCAAGAGAAGGCAATGGCAAACTTCCCCTGAACAACTCTTGCCAAGAAAACCCCATGACCTTAGAGAAGCCATAAGT